AGCTGTTCCGCGGGAGAAAGATGAGGCTTTCTGCTCCTGTAAAGATTTACAGCCTCAGAAACCTTGTACGGAGTCGCTGTAAGTTGGAACCAACTCCATGGCACACAATCAAACATCCATGTACAAATCAGTGACGTGAGTTACATCCGTACGGTTTTCATTGGCTGCTTTTTGGGGAGTCAATCTCCAGGTTTTTCTTCCTAGCCCATCTTAGTCTAGAAACTCCACTGAAACCTGGTCAGTCAGTGTAACAACAACCCATGAGCCGCCATAGACAAGATGGGTGGGGGCCATGCATGAGGTGTATTGGGCGGGAATCAAACCTGAGCCTCCAACATGGAAGGCAAGAATTCTACCGCTGGACCACCAGTGTCCCCACTGAGCGGGCAATGAAAGCTGTTATATGAGTCATAGTAAGATGGAGGGACTTTTGGACTGATGAAGAAAAGCCATCTGACCACTAGGTTATGTGGGATGATGTATTGTTAGCCACATGCTGAGGGTTCAGGAAGACATGGATCTCCGGAAAGAGGAGAGAGGGTAAGGAAGGGAGGTTTGTGTGTCCCTGTGCCTGTCTCCCTGCCGCAAGGTGCCTCCGAAGACAGCAGCCATTAAAACTTCAGGGCTTCATCTTATCTAAGGAACCCTAGTGACACAGTGAATAAGTGCTTAGCTGCTAGCAGGCGGAATCCACCAACTCTCCACAGGAGAGTGGTCTACAGCCTTGGAAACACTATGGGGCAGTTCTGTTCCATCCTATAGGATTATTGAGTCGGAATCAATGCCAGGCGATGGGTTGGGTTTGGTTTACGGAGAACAGGTAGTCCCCTGGTGGTTGGTGATTCCCGTCCATCCAGAAGCATCAGAAGAAACATCTGAAGATCTGCTTCCAAAAACCAGCCACTGACAGCCCTAGGGAGCGCAGTCCTAATCTGACACATATGGGAGCACCAGAACTCAGAAACAACCTAGCGACAACGAGATTTCTGTAGGGTTAGCAGATGTTGGCGTATGTAAAGCAAACAGGCTCTAAGTGGCTGAAAATATTTGTGAAACAATTGGATGTATACAAATTTGAGTTTGGCTCAGACAGGTTTTTTGGCCCAAGGGGCCTCCACTTGGTATGAAAACATAAAGGATCTGCTGCCGATACACAAAGGCCATTTTTGGCTCATTTGTAAAATAAGCTTTGATTATTACTAGTGCATTACTAAGTAGAGCCTCAGTGGAAAAGAGGAGGACCCTCAACGACATGAATGGGCACTGTACAGTGGCTGCCACAGCAGGCTCGGACATTGTGAGGTTGGCGCAGGACCGGGCAGTGTAGTCTTCTATTGCACATGGGGTCGCTGAGTCAGAATTGACTTGATGGCATCTAACAACAACTAAGTGTTGTTTTGGTGTTGTTGTTAAGATGGGGTACTAGCCTCTCCCTGGGTCCAGAGTCTCAGCAGGACAGTAGGGGTAGGTTTAGTAGCCTCTTTCAGGGGTGATTGAACCAGCCTACAATGGGGTAGGACAGTGATTCTCAATTCTGCCCGGAACACGTGGGAATGTGCAAACAAAACACCTGGCTGCGGTCAAGTCTATTCTGAGTAATGGTTACCTTGGAGGACAAAGTAGAGCTGTCTCATAGGGTTACCAAGTCGTCACGGAAACAGACTGCCGCATCTTTCTCCCACACACGTTAGTGGGTTCAAACTGCCAAGCTTTCAGTTCACAGGGAAGCACTTAACCACTGTGCCATCGAACTCCTTTAGTAATGTATTGTTGTTGTTGTTAAGTGCCGTCGAGTCGGTTCCGACCCATAGCGACCCTATACAGGGTTTCCGAGGCTATAAATCTTTACGGGAGCAGAAAGCCTCATCTTTCTCCCGCGGAA